GCAGCGTCGTCGGTTGACCCGCCGTCATCGTCATCGTTAGCGACGAGGAGACAGGAGACACCATAGAGCCTCTGCCCCCCAGGGGAAAACCTAAAATTTTGAGCGTCATACCTCTCATTACAAAAATTAAAATTGTAAAACGAAACCGCGCCGAATGTTGCGGCGATACATCCCCGTGGAGACACGTGAAACCGTCGTCTCGTCGTACCGCTTCAGCGGTGCGACGGGAGCGGTGTACTTGGACACAGTACAATTGGACACGTTGCAAATGGACACATTGCAAATGGATACGGCATTTGACACACAGTTCAATTGGACACGGTGCGTTTGGATACGAGAGAAAATGCACGTCGTTCAGTTACACACCGTTCATTTGGACACCGTTCAGTTGGACACCGTTCACTTGGACACAGTTCAGTTGGACACCGTTCAAGTGCCCACTGTTCACTTGGATACAGAAGGATGCTCACTGTTCACTTGGACACCGTTCACATGGACACCGTTCATTTGGACACCGTTCACTTGGACACCGTTCACTTGGATACCGTTCAGTTGCCCACTGTTTACTTGGACACAGAACGATGCGTGCTGTTCATTTGTACACCGTTCATTTGGACACCGTGGAATTGCTTGTCTGTTCACTTGGACACAGAAGGGTGCGCACTGTTCACTTGGACACCGTTCATTTGGACACAGTTCACTTGGACACCGTTCAATAGGACACCGTTCATTTGGACACCGTTCATTTGGACACCGTTCAATCGCCCACTGTTCACTTGGACACAGAAGGATGCGTACTATTCATTTGGACACCGTTTACTTGGACATCGTCCAGTTGTCTGCTGTTCATTTGGACACAGAATGATGTGCACCGTTTATTTTATCATCATTTAATTATGTATCGTTTGTTTATGCAATGGATATGCAACTGATGAGAAATAAAAAATAGTTTTGTAGAAAATATTTGTGTTTTTATTTCGTTTTTATCACATCCAACCACAACGCCATATGCCTAGAGATATTCTAGAGACTCTATAAACAACGACATATGATTGGATGTGTCCGTTTGTCAATGTGCGCATCTGGGACTCACTCCGATTTTCGTACTACTATTTGTGATGTAGAGTGTAAATTGTGGTTTTGATAATTATTTAGTTTAGCGGCAACACCTCCGATTTCAATGAAAATAGACTCAATCGACACATTTTTGTATGCCAAACAACTTTTTCCTCTGACAAAATCGTCGCTCTCTACTGCGAAGCGAGATATTAATAGACAAAGTTGAGGGCGTGTTAGGTTAGAAAATCTATCATATCATTTATCTCTAGTTATGTAACTGGGGGGCTTCGTCTCCCAGACCTCCCTATCACGGGAGGTGAGCACTATAGTCTCTTGTGCTTAAGCTAAAAAGTGAATTTCTCACAAAAGACTACAGCCCCCACCCACCGTGATAGGGGGGTCTGGGGGGCGAAGCCCTCAGTTACATAGCTAGAAATAGATGGTATGACAGATTTTCTAACCTAATACGC